ATATATATTATATTGTAATTGTTTGGATTCCGTTCACATTTAGCAAACCAGTAAAAAATGGTAGAAAGATAACTATAATATTGTACGATGATAAGCTGTTAATGATTTCATACATTTAATAAATTAAATAAATATATCAAATATTATATTTCTGTATGCTCACCGAAGTTGCTTCGAATAAGTTTTCTTTAGAATCAGTATTCAATAGACGTCTGAGATCGTTTTGCAGTTGTTGTGAATCCGCTGTGGACTTTCTCTGACATCCAGCCACCAGTCGAGGACTTTTAGGTGGCGGTAGACAAGTAAAACTTCCACTCGACCAATTACAGCAATTCCCTACGCAGACGTTTCTAATAAGTAATAAGTCACTAATGGATTTATTCCTTTTGATTCGACCGTAAATTTAATTTTATAAATTAAATCAAGTTATAAAATTTCACGACAAATTGAAATATATGTCAAGCAAACAAGTAATATTTTATGTAACTTTCATAAACATGATTTAAGTTTTGAACTCAACTTATACTTTCAACTTAATACATTTTCTCAAGAAAATCATTTTTAAATAAAAACTACATAAATAGAAACCATTTAATTTTTAATTTTTACATAATACATTTATATATATGAAAGTTTTCATATGAGAGGCGTAACGTATATATTTTTACCTATTATAATATACATTATTGGTAAATATTATTTATTTTATGTAATTGGAAATGTTACAAGTATAAATTTGATCGATTTTTATACCACTCAATAATTGGAAAACATTGTAACGACGTACCTTTATAGTTATAACAACCGGAAGCTATGTCATGCGATGATGAGCCCTTGTCGGAAGAACCGCTGCTTCGGAGACTCCGCCTGAGCTCTTGTTTCCTGTCAAGCACTGTTTCCGATTTGACGTAAAGCGATTTCGTTTCTTGCAATAGTTCCACGGCGCTCTTTCGTTTTGCTGAAACCAAAAATTCAAAACTAAAATCTCTGTCAGGAATATAAAAACTACTTATAGTATAAATCTATTTCCGCTAATAATATATTAGGTATATGTACCGTTATTTGATACAGATAGTGCGACACACTATACATAGGGTAACATATTTAGTACCTATTATAGAAGTGTTATATAATATTATGTGCTACAGATATACAGTTTTTCGGATCACTGCTCATTGAGTGGCCATACTTCACACATTATATGCATAATGTTTACATGAACTACACTGCAGTGTTTTGACTTCCTTCCTGTTTTATGTTTTGTATAAATTTTTTCATATTGTACATAATATGACCATAGGTAATTGTATAATATATAATTATCCTAGTGTTTCCATATTCGGTGTTGCAGCGCACGAGCCATATATCGATTTCCTATGTCAACGACACGTACAAGGCGGACATCGCATTATTGTTACACGAGTGCAAGTTAGATAGACMGTGAACTCAACGTATTTTGGACCACCCGACTGGAAAGCAAAACCTAATGTGAGTGCTTAATTTTGAGCACTTCCTCTCTAAATAACAAACGGGGCAGCTGATACGGAAGCTATAATATATGCGTATTTATATGTATATGTATTTAAATGATTTTTTTCAAATTTCCTGAAGCATCGGCCATCAGTGAAAGTGATATCGTTTATTGAACCGTTAGAAATTGAATAAACCACATTTTGTGGTTTATCGTATCTATATAGTGGAAACGCCAAGATTGAATTTCGCTGAGAAATGCTTCGTCGTTCATTAACAGTAGAACAGATAAATGTATTATATTGGAACTATAATATATCCGTCATCGCTATCAAAATAGGATACTGTTATCAGATTTTCTTGACAAAATGTGTGAATAAGTCGTTTATATATCTACATTCTGCGAGATCTGTTTTATATTATACATAATATGTCACATTTTACATACATATCGCGTTCTGATCCGTTCCATAAAATAGAACTATAATTTTTACGCATCGCAACAAGTTTTTAAAAATAGAGACAAGTAATAGCCATACGAAAAAATTAACTTAAAAAAAATCAAAAATGACCACAGGAAAAACAATTACGCCTCGAAAAATATTACCTACAACCCGTTAAATTATTGGACTTGGAATTTTTTTTATCAATAAGAGTTTTAAAGTAAGTGTATGGATAACAGTAGATCATTATGTAAGCGTGTGTTTGAAGGTTATCGAACAATTATTTTACTATCTAATCATAATAATAACATTATTTCACCCATATTTCTTAAGCCAGAAAATGAGTCGTTGGCATTTAAGAGTTTTATATTTTCACAAACAGTATAAGTGTATAGGTACTTAAGAGTATAATATACAAATATTTACTTGGGAACAGGCAATAATCAAAATATAACGACTATACTATATACATGCCATTTCATTAATAGTTATTTATTATTATTGAACAAATGGGTTTTTGTTATCTGATACCTGTGACCTATCTATAACTTTTTCTCACCCTTCGGTTAAATGCTGTTAAGTAATTATTATTATACACCGTACCTATACATATATTATTACTATAAGGTAATACCGATAACCAGAAGCACACATTATATACAGAACTTCAAATTATTATTTATTAGGTCCCAAAATGTATATAATACGAATTATAATTCGTTAGGGAAATAGATAATTTCATTTTTGTTCCCTCTGTTATTAATTATAATGATAATTTCGACACAAATTTGGATCTACACAATGGTACACCATACACCCATTAGACTTGTGGATTATTACGCATTTCTTGCATGTATAGTTTAGTATAATTTATATACTTTTACTCGACGTGTGTATTAGTGAATATACCTACCCAAATGATCAATAGTGCAATCCGTTCGGTTAACGATGATGGTKAAGAGAAGAAATGGATGGATGATGGAGAGATGAGGGACGAGGAACGTAGATTTWAAAAAAAACGTGAGTTCGTAATCGACAGAGATACAATAACAATTAAAATAATATAATGTACATAATTATATGGGTATTATAATTATTATGCACATACAGTTACGTATAATACGTATACTAACATAATGTAAGTATAATAATATAATAATATATTTTAATTCTCACCCGTGCATTGTGGCCGATACGACGACGCCTGTCCTTTGTCCGTCCGGAGAATGGCGTTCGTGACGTTTAGCGTTTTTAAAGGTTGTCCGGGTTGCTGGCGTACGTAACTGCTGCAAGCTGACGACAACGTGGCCATGTCACTGGCTCGGACGGAATGCCGGACGCATCGCCGCCGGACTTGTGACCTGGAACAATGCACACACGACGATGTAATAATAATAATATAACCAAAAACGAACGTGTTAATTCCGGATCGAAAAAGAGAACGCACCCTCCTGCGTGCCATGTCATAATAACGTAATGTAATAATATAATGTATAATGCGATGGCGGTAGACATAGCATATACACATTAACGTCGCTCTCGTATACGCGGGAGGTTGAATATTATGTATTATTATTATTATTATTATACGAATGTATACATAATATATAGGAACGGACGATTATTAGATGGACAGTAAACGACGAGGTTCACGTTGTATATACATAACATTATGATATGGATGTATGATACATATATGGTATCCCAATTCATTTTTATTTTTCTATTTGTGTTTGTATAACATTGCTTAAAAAATAACACTTTTGTTTTTCATTGTATTTAATACATAAAATGCATTTGTCCGTTGGTAAAAACGCGTCATATGGTGTTGTGTTATTCTTCTATATTTATATTATATATTACCGAGTATATAATATATCTCGTATACACAACCCCTTTTTTTTGTTTGTTCCCGTCGCATATCTCTCCAGTTTCCGGACATCGAAATTTTACCCACAGTCATAAGGTGTAGGTAATATTATACTCATACAGTCATACAGCTATATGTGAAMGATATAATACTCACTGTCCGTTGATTAAACCTATATTTTAATATATCTACAATCGTGTAATGTAGCTGTAGTCTGTATAGCAATAAAATAATAAACATGTTTATTGTTTATATAGTTCAGTCCTACTTCTAGAATTATATAAATGGCTGAATCCTGTTCAATAATGCGCTTTATTGAATCCTATTAGGTACCTACGTATAATTTTTTGGATTAAATTAGAAAATTTCGACTTAACTGTAATACGTCCATATACGCATGAGACATGCCATTCGTATCATCATATATAAATACATACCTACTATTATAGTGACGTGGTCATCATGCCAACTCCGGTATTATCACTTTTTGTGTAAATAACCTTACTGACTTAATTTAACCTTGACCAGCATAAAATATTTTTAAAAAACGAAATTATAGGCATATATTTAAAAAAATAAAAATATTTAATACACTTATAGGGTGGATACATTTGTGGAAGCTGGTCATGCGATGTGGACCACGCTTTAATATTATTATTATTGTATAATCCTGGATTGGACACACTAGCCGTGTAACATGAACGCAACAGCATAGATTAATTAATACATTATTATATTGTACACAGTAACTGTGGAATTATACGTATAGGTACCTGCACAACGTTGAACGCGTCACACAAAAATTATTATGATCGAACGGACCGGCTCGACGTCTTCGGCGTCCACAATGATCTATGGGAACCGAATAACCGCGTGATAGAAAGGTCTTAGTGATGAATGAGCTTGTATATGTAGTGAAGGGGAAGGGGATACACCACTACAAACGATTATCACACGGTATTGTGCAGCGCGTGGTTTAACCCGTTCACCGATTGTGAACAATAATATTATTCATCATACACAGCTACGGGCGGCATGCAGTACACAAACCTGTATATATGGATAGGTAATGYATATATGTACACGTCAATGGCCTCTTATACAGGTTATTCACTAAGCACTCCCACCCCTATTTCGCCCTTAAATACCCAATTAATTWGTTCAAATTTTGAATTTTTAAATTTATTCAGTATATGTATACTTAAGGAACATATTATTTTTCATGACTTAGGGTTTTTTAGAATGTCATACATGGTGACAAAAACAACTTTTTCAAATGAGAACCAATTTAATTTACTGAAATTGTTAAGCAGGTGATTTTGTTTAACATTTTGACTCTTATTTTAAATTCTGAGGGGAGTGATGATGARAGTATTGGTTTTAAAATTATGTGTGTTTTTTCTTGTGTCAGTTATAATCATTTTGAGACAGAGATAGTAAAATGCATCGATTTTCTTCAACCAGCGTATTACTGGTAGGAAAATGAATCTAGTAAGTACTTTGGAGGATCAAAAGTAAAACATTTTCAATAGTTTTCAAGAGCATCGAGAAACAAAACAAAAATTAAGGAAAAACTGAGATAATTTTAGCAATGTCTATGCATCATAAAATTGTGGAAATATTTTAATTCTTTTTGAGATATTTATAGGTCCTATAAGAAAATTTAGTTCTGTAAAAAGACTTGAAAATAAATACAAAATTTCCATCAATTTTTTGTTGGTGAAAATTAAAAAAAAATGGAGTGTAAATCCACAATAATTTTTATGAGCATCTGAAGTAAAAATGTCGACAAGATCACAAAAATTGCCAAATTATTTCGAGTTAGAAACTCTTAAAATATTTTCTATATATATCAAAAWTTTTATATCGTTTTACAAGATTCTACTTAAGTTTTTCCTACATTTAACAAAAAAAAAGTTTACCGGATACTCAAATTAATTTTTTAATTGACCCGTAAATCAAGATATTCTCATACAATGGTTTTTTTATTTTGTGTTTATCCAAAAGCTACTATTAACCTTAAGTTTATTTATTTTAAATTTTCAAAACATTTTTACTCATTTTGAGTTAATTATAACCATTTGAAATTTGAAATTGTTTGCTTTTTTATTCAATAAATTTTAATAAAATGTTATTCTTTGGGTCAAAAAGCTTGAAAATCTAATGCAAGGTTCCTTAAAAGTCGTAAAATATCAGTTTAAAACATTAAAAACACATATTCAATATATTTTTTTTATAATTATTTGAGGTTCTAATTTCGACAAAATTTATCAAACTGAAAATGTACCTACAAATAATTTTGTTGTTGAAAATTTTCAATTTTTTGTAACTATTATTATCAAAATAATAATCGGGATTCCATAGCCTTCACTATATGTCTATATATATATATATATAATAGCTATTAATAAAAATAATATAATTTTAACAATTTACCAAATAAAAAATGGTAAATACTAGGTATTTTTTTTTATATAATTATAATTTGTTAGTACATGAATTTGAATCGAGCATCTCTAATTGAAAATAATTTTGTTAAAAAATTGTATGAAAAGGAAACTATCTTTAATATGAAAAATAATAATTTGTATATGATTTGTGTTCAAAAAAAATATAAAACCATTGATTCTTTAGTTATTATTATTATTATTATTATTATTATTATTTACGTGCTCTATCTCTTCCGAATAACTATACGATCCTTGAGTGTTGACAATTTATTCAAGCCATCCTCCCCTATGAAGTTTTTATTGTTTAATATAATAACGTATATAATATATATTATACGATTTTGTTGAATTGTCGAGAACTATATTGTTTTGTATTTTTATTTCCGAGTGGTATCTCACTCCACGATTGTATTCAACAAGCAACAACACGTGTTTGTTATTTTAACATGATGGTCGTCGCTAAGTTCAGTGACGTATAAAAAAGATTACGCTTAAGGTTTAACGGTAGCTTGGAAGTCGTATGATATAGAATTTTTATAAATGTATATATAATTATACACGGTTTTACCGAGGGGACGTGATATTAATCAAGTATCATTCACACGAGTCATTGAAAAAAAWTTTTACCTCCCTAAGGATAATATCAATCGACGTTATATCTATATCATATAAAAAAAATACATACAACATGCAATACCAATGTGAATAAAGTAAAAAGTTAGTTTTTAAAACCTCGACATTTTTTAAAAATCTATTGATTTTACTTAAAGAAAATTAAGGGTAATAATTAAATATTACTTTAACAAATGATTACATAACTTACAGCGGTTCCTAAAATTGTTTTTTCACACCTTCCGCAAAAAAATATTTGTGTTATGACTGCCATTAAAAATATAAGAATATAAAAGTAATAAAATAAATATTCAATATAATATACTTATCTTTATATGACTTTTATTATTTTTGCAAACGAAATAGTAACTAATTTTATTTTGTATACTTGAAAATAAATAATGTGAGCATGGTACCTACCTATTCGTTTTTTACGTATTGTGCGAGACAAATACATACAAATAGTCTAATTAAACATACCTAAACTTGCTGTAGTTAATTAAATTATTAACAAATTACACATATCTATGTGAAAAAGGGATTAAGCCATTAAAATAATAATAAAAACTAAAAATTATAGGTGCCTAAATGACTTTTTTTATTTATTTGCGCTTTATATTCWATTAATATGTATATTGTATATCTATAATAATATATGCAATTAGGTTTTATTTATTTAAATTGTTATACAAAATCATGAACTTAAAATTTAACTTGGGGGGTGGAGTGGCCGAGCGGACTAAGGCGTCTGTTGCCATGCACGCAGTCGCCRGTTCGAWCSTCKGTCACRGRCGGCATCGCTCTTTGGGCATTTCGCGGTGTCTGGAGAGAGAGGCCGCCGCCCCCCAACCGGGCATGGCAGAAACCTACGGGTGCCCATTCAAAATTCTGCCNCCAACCGGGCATGGCAGAAACCTACGGGTGCCCATTCAAAATTCTGCCAAAATACCCACGTGTTTAAAACCTACAGTACCTTCCCCTACAGTTCCCCCAGGCTAATGACCTCAATTATCGAAGCCTTAACCCTAAAAAAAAAAAAATTTCACTTCAAACATTTTATATGATTCCAATTACTTTTAATTTCGTACAATATTTCTCTCTTTTATATACTGAGGTAAAAAAAAAATAAATACGTTTTAGAATTTTAGCTCTAACAGACAAAAATATAATTTGATTTTCTTGCATGGCTAAAACTAATTAATATACGAAAAACATAATAATATTATGTAGGAAAATGCGCGAGAGCATTTTCGTGGTTACCGTTGCCGCTGGTGTGCGATTCTCGTGTTTGTGTTTTATAATATTATAGGTACTTATTAAACTACCTATATTCGTCCTAGTGGCCTGTTTACTACGGATATAATAATTTACACAACTTGGAAAAGAGAACTAAAAACTGTTCATGTTGTCGAGGGATGGTAGGTACCTA